CCAGGACACCCCCCAAAACCCCAGGGAAACCCCGTCTGGAAAAACCAAAAAAAAAAAAAAAAAAAAAAAGAAAAATTCTTCTTTTCCTTCTTTGACTCTCAAATTTTGGCATGTGTTTGATACAAGGTACCTTTACATGCTCAACACCGTAAAAACCTTGGGCATGAGTTTCTGATTTTCCCTGGTGGGCAATATTTCACGTGCTGTCACAATTGCTGAAGAAACTAAGCACACCCTGATATCCCTCACGGAAAGAATTATGACAAGCGCACTCCTGGTTTCCTCCAGATTTTGTGTCCTTTTGTGCAATGTGCCTCCACGGTTAGTACTACTGTGCTGAAGTCATTTGAGTCCCTAGGCCAAGTAGAAGATCTGGGAGTAGTCTTAGGAACTCCAGTACAAGTAACATATTAAAACAAATGTTTACATTCCAATTTCAGTTCTAACACTTACTATGTGGTCTTAGCAAGGTCAATTTACTTTATTTTCGACAAACAAACAAAACCTACATGGCCTCTTTGTTTCTTTAAAAGAAAAATACACCATCTTACAGTTCTATTGAAATAACACACACTAAGTAAATAATAGTAAATGGTATTTCTAAAGGTGCTTTCTTAAATGAAAGCCTCAGGATTCATTTACATATACACAGATGCAATGAGATGGCCATCTGAAATATTGCAAAGAGAAGTTCAAAGACAAACTTTACTTCCAGTATCTTCAACACTGGTACTGTAAATGATTTCCTAATCACATGAGAACATTATGGGTAAGTTTAGTTTTAGCTAAAGACTTCTTTTCTGAACCTGGTCTTCATTTAGTCTTCAAACTGACCTGCTAATGAGAAATAAAGATAAATGTACTAATAAAGTAGTACGAGGACTATACTTGATTGCTAGGTTTCTCAAATTTTGTTAAAGTAAGAACTTAGTATAAAACCCTTCTAGAGCTGAGCATGGCAGTACACACCTTTAATCCCAGCTTGGGGGGAGCAGAAGCAAGTAGAATCTCTGTGAGTTTGAGGCTAGCCAGGGCTACGGAGTGAATTCTGTCTAAACAAAACAAAGCAAAACATCCAATAGATATTTTAAAATCCATGGAAAAGTACAACCTCGAAGTCATTGATTCCCAATTTTATCAACTTACCCCAAAGTCGCTTTTCAACTGAATTCATATCACAAATCCACATGTCTCACATCATCTGTTGAAAAACAAATTTCCTAAAATCAGTATATTTTGGAGTAACTCTTTCCTCCTTTTCCTTCACTATCCTGTTCACTAGACTGTAAGCCAGCCACCCACTTGAATACAAGGGCCATTAATCATTCAGCTATTTCTCCAAAGCTAAAGCACCTGGAGGCAGTCCAGTTAATGACTATTATAAGAACGGGTGGGTTACTGAGAACCAACAGCAAACTCAGGAAAATAGAACAAATTATCTTTTCTCCTCTTAGAAAAAGATGATGGCATCAACTTCTCAAATGAGAAGGTCAAAGACAGGAAGACAGCATCTGCAGTGGATACTGTTTACTCCTTATTTCCCACCCAAAAATTTTCACCACATTAGACTCCAATGGAATTCTAGTGATAACTCTCCATTAGGCCACCTATTCCTGACTGAACCACACCAGACACAGCCACTGTATTTATCTTACCAAAGCACAAAACTAAATCATGATCAATGGGACCTGTTAGATAGCATTTGGGGGAAAAGATGATAAAGGAGAAATGTTATCTTTCTACATCTAGATACTCTTTGAATCAGCACACACTTTAAGTCCTGTGCTATCTTGTAGCCCTAAGGAAAGACTATATTGTGCTGAGAATGGCAAAGGGAAACTGTGAAGCCAGACCAACTTGGAAAGCTCCTTATGCATGAGCCTCCTTAAGAAATGATAAAACTCTCAGTGATGAGGTATTTTGCTGCACATCAAAAGTCCCCTAATAACATCCTTCAAGCTAAAATTATTGATTCAGATCATCCTGTGAAGAAAAAAATGAAAGTGTAAACAGTAGAAAACCTGTCTAGCACTAGAATTTCATCATAAATTTAACAACTACAAACTAGAGCCTGGTGTGACATACCCGTTTTAGAAATGATATTATAGTCATGTGTCATTTAACAAGGGTTCTGGGAAACATGTCATAAGGTAATTTCATTACTCCATGAGCATAAAAGTGTTATTCACATAAATCTAGCAGCAAAGCCTACTACAAATCTAGGTTCTATGGTATATATTATTGTATATGTGGTCCACCTTTGTGTGAAACCCTGTTATGTAGTACATGGCTTTAGCTAATCAACTGAAGATCACATATTCCCAGAATAAATGCTAGAGAAGAGTGTGTGTTAGGTTTCCCCTAGTCAAAAGCTTCAGACACCAGATAACAACATCAAACATTATCATTCTGGGAAGCAGTTTCTTGGAAGTAAAGAATCCAGCAGGAACTTTCCAAAGGCCAGGGGCAAACACTATTTTCTAGTTATGGAATTCCCAAAGTTTTGAAGCGTTTCCTCTGTATTTTTGCCAAACTACCAATCTTAGCAAAACTCCATAATTATGCCCTCTTTCCTCAAATTATCATTTTCAGTTCTCTATTCTCTTCTGTGCAAGTGGGCTTTATGCTCTGGTATGGCTTCATATCAGTGAAATGGCTTCTAAGTGAAATCACTACTCTAATGTCCTACCAACATCACCAATCTCTTTTTCAGTCACATTGTGCTTGATGTTTCGGCCATCTTTAATTATTTAGAACAGTCAAGGTAAAAATTCAAAATAACTTCTCTTGATTTCCAGTCATTGCTCATCTTCACTGTCCACCCTTGACTCCCCTTTCTCAGCTGAAGAGACATTCTCAGGGCAAGAAGCATCATATACCATGCCCTTCTTGGAAAACTCATCAATAGTACAACTTTAGCCACAATGTGGTAACTGTTCCCATCCCTTTAACTGCCTAAGGTTCTGGTTAGAGTACAAGCTTTGCAAGCATGGGAATTATGTTTTTCACACCTGTACCCTGAAAATTTCTAAACTGCCATTCAATGTGTCATGAGTGCAAACACTTGTACAACAGCATTTCTACCCAGGGTTACTGTGTATCTTTTCTATTGCTCTCCTTTCCACTGCAGCACCAACTACCTATTTCTATCATTCAACATATTTACTCAGCTTATTGTACTAGCTACATAAATGCAAGGTCTATATTCTGTCTAACACCATTACTATAGCATCTGGCAGTTCCTGGAACAAGAAAGAAGAAGCTCAATAACTAATACAAGAATGAAAATACGAGAAAACACACATGAGAAGGAAGAGTAACTGAAAATAAAGAAAAATTTAAGGTCTTCATGTTTATATGTAGAGCAGATATTTAACTAATGTTGGGCTTTTATTCAAATATCACACTGAAAACAAGTAAAAAAAGATTGTTAAAACATCAATGTTCAGAAGCAGGGAGCAGTATGCATGGACATGTGCCAGCAATTCCTCTATACTTTCTTAGTGTTTCGTTTCTATGTTAAAATTTACTGCTCTGAACTCTGCCATGCAGCTCAATGCTCTGTGTTTAGAAGTAGAGTATGGTCCATAGTTAGAGGGAATATTCAACAAATAGATTTACAAACATAAATAGAAGGAACAAAAGAAAATAAACAAAAAACACAAAGTTGGAAAAAGAATATCAATTAAAAAAATTAGGAGTGGGATAACAAAAAAATTCACACAAAACCTGACAATATAGAAAGCATAAAATGAGGGAGCTGGAGGAAGAGCACTGGTTGCTCTTCCAGAGGTCCTGAGTTCAATTCCCAGCAACCACAGGGTGGCTCACAACCATCTGTAATGTTATCTGGTGCCCTCTTCTGGAGTGTAGGCATACAGGCAGGCATAAAAATGTTTACATAATAAATAAGTTTATTTTTTTAAAGAAAGCATAAAATGAAATGGCAGAAATTAACCGAATGTTATCAAGATTAAGATAATAAAAAGACAAAATGTGGCAATGAAAAGGTGTGATGTTAATGAGGTGGCATGTGCTTGACATGTGGCCTTCATGGGACATAAATCAAAAACATGAAGACTCCACAAGGTCCTGTTAGTAGAAGTACATACAGTAGATGTGTATGCACTGAAGTGCAAGTTATGCTAGACTAATCTGCCCATGAACAGTTAGATCTTCAGATGAAACAAGAACAATTATCTGCAGAAATGCCAACCTTTGAAAGAGGGAACTACAAAGCACAAAAAAGTGAATACTTCCTTCTACATAAAAACTACCTTTTATTCAATCAAAGACATTATATGCAGTTAAAAGATTAATCAAAGACTGGGAGAAAATTTCACAAAACATGGACTTTAGAATTAGAATGCATTAAAAACTTCTCCAAATCAAAGCAAGCAACCAGAATAGGAAACCTAGCTCTGTGGTGAGCACTCATCTAGGATGGGCTCAATCCCTAGCAACAACCGAGGAAGAGGAAGAATGAACGATGAAAGGGGAGGAAGAAAAAAATGATGACAGCTGAAGAAAGGAATTGACAATACTTAGTGAAGCTAAAGAAAGCACCACAATATCATTTTATAATCCAACTCCAGGTTCATAATCTGAAGAAAATTACACACCAACATAAGGACAGGATTGCAGTATTGTCTGTAAATTGTCCAAGAAAGTGACAATCTGAGATATATCAAGAAAATGGAGCGGCTGGAGATGGCTTAGCAGTTACGAGTACTTGCTGCTTGCTCTTCCAGAAGATTTTAGTTTGGTTCTGACTCACAACCACCTGTAACTCCAGCTTCAGAAGATCTGTACCTCTTACTTCTGGTCTCCAAAGGTAGACAAACAGACAGACAGATATGTGTGTGTGTACACACACACCTACACACACAACTATTTTCTTTAAAAAGAAAAATGACTAAATGACACACATAACAGAATACTATGCAGCAGATAAAATAAATAAAGCAGAACTATATGTGTCAATATGAATACAATGAACAAGAAGCACCGTTTTCAGTACAGTACAGCTTGCATTTAACTTTAACAAGTTAAAGTGGCACATATTGTTTATGGGCTGAAAGTATATTATAAATACAGAATGATATAGCAGATGCATATTAGTGGCTATTTCCAGGGAGGGAAAGAAGAGTTAAAAAATATTGGAACTTTTTAATATAAAGGATCTAAATTTTGGAAAACTAGCAGCTTTCCACTATGTGAATACTTTCCTATTCTTTCATGGGAATCAAACAAGTAGAAATTTTATTCCCTGTTCTGCCTTGCAGGTCAAGGTGGCTGGTAGAACAAAATCAGAATTCATTACCTGGAGCTATGGGAGTGTTTAGGAGACAGCACTGAAAGATAGGTCCTGGGACCCTGACCCCTGTAGTGACCCTATTAATTGGACATGAACACGATGGATGGAACAGAGGAACAAGAACTTTCTTGAGAAGAGAGATACAAGCTGAAGAAAGAGAAAAAGAGCAGGTACTTGGCAACACGCTGCCATATCTGGAGAGTAAGCAAAACCCACAATGCTCTCTCTACTGTCTGAAGCACCTTTCTGGAGGAAGAAGGAAAGCAGCACTCTAAATGCAGCCAAACCTAGTACTAACAGCCGCAAAGTAGTGCTAACATCTTTGTAGCAGAGACCACAACCTGCCAAACTACAACCTGCCAAAACAGAGAAACAACTGATCATGGGTGCCAGTCCCAACTGATATATTTGTAATTCCTGCACCTATGGCTTAGGGAACTTGGCAGAAGAGAGGGGCAAAAATATTGAGTCAAGAGGGCCAGTAACTCTGTTGTGATACTGTGTCTCCTAGAATGAAAGGGAAGCTACACTAATAATATTTCAACAATATGGCTATCTAAATGGGACCTGAACAATGACAGCACCAACAAACATGCTAACATGGAAGGAGAAAAATCTCATGAGGTCCCAGGTGAATTATTCATCCATAAGGATGAGGCCCCTAATTGGTTATACAATATAAGTGGTCAGCCCTGAAATCACATACATACAAGCAACACTAAACAGACTTGGCAGGTTATATTTATATATTTATGTGTGTGTTATACACACACATATATGGAGAGAGATACACACACACACACACACACACACACACAGAGAGAGAGAGAGAGAGAGAGAGAGAGAGAGAGAGAGAGCACTAAACAAACAAAAAAAGAAGCCAT